GCAGCAGCCGTCAGGGTTGCATGCTGCTGGAAGGTCAAGTGTGATGCCTGAAAAAAGGCCATGGGACTCAGTGACTTAGAAATAATTGATGACCTGAATTATGGGGAATAGAGGCCAGACTGGGTTGAGAATGGAAACAGCATAAACAAATTTTTAGAGAAGTTTGGCAGTGAGAGGTAAAGGGTGTTGATGAGGGATTATTTTAAATATGAGAACTACTAAAGCATGTTTAGAAGCCAAAAGGAAAGCTCTGAGAAAGGATGAATACCCAGGGGAAGTGATAACCAAGAGTGTAGGTTTCTGGAGAAGGCAGATGAAAACAGCCTCTGGGCGGCAGAGGTTAGAGGAGCTGGCCTTAGGATAAGTGAGGTTCTGGAACCACCAGTCATGATTTGGCACTGCTTGCCTCCTTACCCAGCCCAGGGCCTGTTGCCAGCCCTCTAGAGGCTGTTTTTGCATCAGCACCTCCCTCTTGTTTTACTTGCCCTGCCAGTCCAACTTGGTAAACCACACTTCTCCACCCCCCTTAAATTTCTTCCACTCATTTACGTATTCATTTAGCAAACATTTACTAATGACTGTGCCAGGCCCTGGGGGTCAAGGGCTCAAACAAGTCCTTGTCCGTGAGGAACCATGGTCCAGTAGTGGCAAGAAACAACTACAGTCATGCGGCAGGTAACGATGTTGTGGTCAACAGCTGACCACATACACAACGGTGGTCCCATAAGATTTGTACGATCTGGCCTAGGTTTGTAGTAGGCCACACCATCTAGGTTTGTGTAAGTACACTCTAGGATGTTTGCACAATGATGAAATTGCCTAATGATGCATTTCTCAGAACATGTCCCCAAAGATATCCCCATGATTAAGGGACACGTGACTGTAGAAATAACCAGAGCACAATGCACCGTGTGAGAAGGGCTGTGGTGGCATGGCCTGCTGTGGGAGTCTCCTGTCCCTAAGCTGCCAAGTGTTGCTGGAGAAAATCCCTAAACCAGATCGACTGGGGAGACTACAGGAGTGCCCTCCCTCCTAAGCAATTTTCTAAATCCATCTTGACTTCCTTTTCCACGGTGCCACCTTTCTTTCTCTAGTTTGCTCCCTTGCTGCACTCTTTCTTGTGTCCGAGGGAGGGGAGGACCGCTTCCTCATAACTCATATTTTCATGTTCTTCATAAAAATAAACTGCTATAAACAATCGAAAAGTGAGCATTCATTCCATTTCTGCCTACTTTTCTTCAGACACAGGTTTGATTTCTCTGGAAACAAAGACAGGATGGAGAGCTCAGACACTGGATATCTGAACATTCACTGAGCACCTCCTATGTGTTGGCACTGAGACTACGATAGTGAGCAAGGTCCCTGCCCTCGTGATGCTTACAGCCCTGGGGAGTTCACTGCTCTGGTGGAGAGAAGTGATGCTAAGGGAAGTAGGCAGGGAAAATTCAAGGGGTGAGGGCAGTGGGAACAGTTATCTCCAGGACAGTGAAAACAGGATGGCTTGGGCATTCATGAGACTCACGCCTTCAAAATCAGGAACCGCACCCTCTTGCCCCAGCAGGCATACACAAGGTAGTCCTGAGGCAGTAATTTAACTCTGATTATAAATTAAGATCTAACTTTCTACGGTACTCACAGACATTATCTTTAAGCTAATTCCATAGGAGAAAGGTTAACTAGAGTTTTGCAGCCTTTTGTTGGTATATAGGTCTGTATATGTTTTCATGGAGGCTGCCCAGAATTTTCTTGACTGTCTCTGGGGCTGTCCTCTATACCACAAAAATTTATTATGACCATAGTGAAGATAGGTTCATACTTGGTGAATTCTTGGAAAGTATATATCGACAGCTACATACATAGGATTAGCCATTCTTAGAAATCTCACAGAGCTCATTTATTCATTCACCAAATATTTATTAAGCTCCTACTATGGAGACATGGGTAAATACATAATTGTTCACTGCTATTGTAATACATGATATATTACCTATGTTTGCAGGCTTTAAGGCTATCCTCTGTATCCCAGCCCTGACCACTCCCCTGATCTCAGATCCTACTGGACATCTGCACCCAAATGACCCCTAGGTATCTCTGGTCCCAAACTGAACTCAGGTTCCTCCCACCTTCCTGTTTTCACAGAGGATGTTAACCCCCTTTCCGCTCAGCAGTGAGGGTCATATTTGACTCCATCCTCACTCCCCACAGCCAATTAATCATTACATTCTGTTTGTCAAGTTCATCTCCCTCCTCTCCATCCCTTCACTGCCCTAGTTCCGGCTGCCATTGTTCATTCATTTATTCATTCACTATTTTTTGAGTATACACCACGTGCCATTCATGTTCTAGATTTTGGAATTACATCAGTGAACAAAACAGACAAAATTCCTGCCTTCGTGGAGCTTACATTCAAGTGGAGAGAGAAACTAAATAAAACAAGCAAAACATGTATTGTGAGAAAGTGACAGGTGCTTAGGAGAAAAATAATAGATCAGGGAAAGGGAATGTGATGTTTAAGGGTGGGGCTAAAAGGCCTCAATGAGAAGGTGACTTCTGAGTAAAGACTTGAGAAGGAAATGAGGGAGCCAGCTCTGGATATCTGGGGGATGAACCTTCCAAAGGAAAAAGTATGTGAAAAGGCCCTGGGGTGGGAGTGGGACCGGCCTCTTCAGGAATGGCAAAGGCCATTATGGCTGGAATACAGTGAGCAAGGGGGAGAGTAGTTGAAAGGGATGGAATAAAGTCAGAGAGCTAACAGGGGCAAGATCCTATAGGTCATAGTTAGAACTTGGGCTTTTATTCCAAATGACATAGGAACCATTGCAAAGTTTTGAGCAGAAGTGTAATATAATTTGACTTAATATTTTAAAATGAAAGGATCAGTCTGGCTGCTGTGTTAAAACAGACCAAAGCATGGAAAAGATAGAAGGATGTAGAGAAGTTAAGCTATTGCAGTAATCTAGTAGAGACCTGATGCTGGCTTGGACCACGGTGGTAGCAGTGGAAGCAGTCAGAAGTGATCAAATTCTGAATGTATTTTGTAGGTAGAGCCAACAGAATTTGCTGATTGACCAGATGTGGGGTATGAGAGAAGAGTCAAAGGTATTTAAGCACTGGAAGGATGGAGTTATTGAGATGGGGAAAACTGCAAGAGAAACGGGGTGTGTGTTATCAAGATGGGGAAAACTGCAAAAGAAACTGTGTGTGTGTGTGTGTGTGTGTGTGTGTGTGTGTGTGTGTGTGTGTGATGGTGCAGGGGGCTATCAGGAGCTCAGTTTTAGACATGTAAAGCCATGGGATTGAGATCACCACGGAGTGAGTACAATGACTGAGGTCTGGGGCGCTCAAGCATTTAGACATGAGATAAAGAAGAACCAGAAAAAGAGATTCTGAAGGAGCAGTGAGAAAGAGAGGAAGAAAACCAAGCAGGGGTACTGTGCTGGAAGCCACGTGAAGAAAGTATTCCAAGGAGAACTCAACTAAGACAAATGCTGTGCATAGGTCAGCTAAGATCAGATCAGAGAAATTAACTTAGGATTTAGCAACACAGAGGTCACTGGTAATCTTTTTTATTTTTTTTTAATTTTTTCCTTTTTCTCGCCGAAGCCCCCAGTACATAGTTGTGGGTCCTTCTAGTTATGGCATGTGGGATGCCTCCTCAGCATGGCTTGATGAGTGGTGCCATGCCCACATCCAGAATCCTAACCTGCGAAACCCTGGGCCGCTGCAGCGGAGCACACAAACTTACCCTCTCGGCTACGGGGCCACTCCTACTGGTGATCTTAAGAACAGTTTCAGTTTGAGTGCTAGGTGAAAACCGAATTGGAGTGGGTTCCTGAGAGGATGGGCGCCCACTAGGATGGCTATAATTTTTTTTAAAGTTTTTTTTAGTTTTCGTTTTTCTCCCAAAGCCCCCCAGTACACAGTTGTGTATTTTTAGTTGTGGGTCCTTCTAGTTGTGGCATGTGGGATGCTGCCTCAGCGTGGCCTGATGAGCAGTGCCATGTCCGCGCCCAGGATTCCAACTGGTGAAACCCTGGGCCACGGAAGCAGAGCACGCGAACTTAACCACTTGGCCACAGGCTGGCCCCTATAATTTTTTATTAATGGAAAACAGTGAGTGTTAGTGAGGATGTAGAAAAATTGGAACCCTCATATACTGCCGGAGGGAATGTAAAATGGGGCAGCCACCGTGGGAAATAGTCCAGCAGTTACTCAAAAGGTTAAACAGAGTTACCATAATGACCCAGCAATTCCACTCCTAGGAATATGCCCCAAATAAATGAAAACAGGTACTTAAACAGATAATTGCACACCGGTGTTTATAGCATTATTCACAATAGCCAAAAAGTGGAAGCAACCCTAGTGTCCATCAACTGATAAATGGATAAACAAAATGATATGTCCATATAGTAGAATATTACACAGCTGTAAAAAGGAATGAAGTACTGACACATGATACAACATGAAAGAACCCTGAAAACATTATGCTACGTGAAAGAAGCCAGACACAAAAGGGCACATAATGTATGATTCCATTTATGTGAAATGTCCAGAATATGCAAATCCATGGAAACAGAAAGTATATTAGTGCTTGCCTAAGGCTGGGGGGAGAAGGGGAATGGAAAGCGACTGCTAGTGGGTAGAGGCTTCTTTCTGGGATAGTGAAAGTGTTCTGGAATTAGATGGTGGTGATGGTTACACAACCTTGTGAACACACCAAAAACTACTGAATTGTACGTTTTTAAATGGTGACTTTTATGGTATGTGAATTATATTTCAAAAAAAGAATGAGAGGAGGGGCCAGCCCGGTGGTGCAGCAGTTAAGTTTGCACGTTCCGCTTCTCGGCGGCCCGGGGTTCGCCGGTTTGGATCCCGGGTGTGGACATGGCACTGCTTGGCACGCCATGCTGTGGTAGGCGTCCCATATATAAAGTAGAGGAAGATGGGCACAGATGTTAGCTCAGGGCCAGGCTTCCTCAGCAAAAAGAGGAGGACTGGCAGTAGTTAGCTCAGGGCTAATCTTCCTCAAAAAAAAAAAAAAAGCATGAGAGGAGAGAAATTGGAAACAGAAATCTCGACAAATCTTGCACAGCTTTGTTGTAAAAGGAAGGAGGGAACGGAGTAGCAGTGGAAAGGGAGTTGGGATAAAGAGCAGGCTTTTAAAAGGGGAGAAATGCCCGCCTATTTATTTGTACATTGTTGGGAACAATCCAGTGAAAAGCAGGGACAGAAAGGACAGAACTGCCAGAGCAAGGTTCTTGACTAGGTGACAGGGGTTAGGATTGAGGGCACAAGCAAGCAGAAAGGCTGGCCATAGTGCAAATACTTCATCCGCAGGAACAGGATGAAGGCAGAGGATTCGAGTGCAGGTGCTGGGAGCTGGGACGTGGTAGGTGAGTCATGGAAGATCTCCTGTGATTGCTTAAAATTTCTCGGTGACTAGGAAGCAAGGCCATCATGTGAGAGAACGGAGGAGGAAGGGCTGCAGATCTGAGGACAGAAGAGGTTTGAAACAGTTGTCTAGGCCAAGGGTTGACAAACTGTGGACCAAACCGGGCCGCTGCCTATTTGTGTACAGCCTGCCAACTAAGAATTGTTTTTGTATTTTTAAATGGTTGAAAAAAATCAAAAGAAGAATAATATTTTGTGACACAAGAAAATTCTATGAAATTCAAATTTCAGCTTCCATAACTACAATTTTATTGGAACCCTGCCATACCCATTCATTTATGTATTGTCTAGCTGCAATGGCAGAGTTGAGCAGTTGCAACAGACACCATACGTCACCTGCAAAGACTAAAATATTTACTATCAGAAGAAGTTTGCCAACCCCTGGTCCAGGCCTTTGCTACTGAAAGTGCGGGTCCACAGTCCAGCAGCATGCACATCACCTGGGAAGTTATCAGAAATACAGAATCAGAGTCTGTGGTCTAATAGGATGCCCAGGTGAAGTGTGTGCACATTCAAGCTTAAGAAGCACTGTTCTCGGAGAATGGGAGGGTGGCTAGACTAAAGAAAGGTAGGGTTGTGGGACAGCACTGAGGGCCCACTCGAAGTCAGTGGTCATGAACCTGAAGTGAGGCCGGTCGGCTTCCTCCAGCTTCATTCAGCTGCCAGAGGTGCAGATATGTTGAGCAGGTGGAGAACTGGATTTACAAGGGTTATGCTTTCTCCCAGCAAGTACAAGAAAGGGCAAGGTGTGTACAAGTGAGTGGTTGATATAATTTAAACTGAGTAAGGAGGGAAGAGGAGACAAGGAGGGGTGGCGGAGAGAAAAGGGAAAAGGTACAGGTTCAGTGGATTGCCGGTCCTGGTGGGGTGGAAATGTAGTCAGTGTTGGGGTACTAGAAGAAGGGAGCTGCACGGAGAGCAGAGAATGGGCTAATGCCACGGTCAAAGGAAGGGCAAGGGAGCGAGTGGCTGCAGGGTGGTGGAGGACAAGACACTGAAGGAGAGGAGGCCAAGGGTCTGGAGGTATCTGCATGGATATCAAACTCACCAGGGACTGTGACAGGAGTAGTGTTCGAGAGAGTGACAGTGAGCCAAGAGCTAAATCTGCAAGGAATGAGAGGGAGAGACTCAGGGACTGGTAGGCAACTGCAACAAAAAAGAGCATCAGCGCGTTGGGACTGTGGCTACAGCCTCCCGTGGGTCTCCTTGTTTCCTTGTTTCCACTCTTGCCTCTACCCTCATCTGCTTTCCACACAGCTGCCCAAGGGATCTTCCTAAAATACTTACATAATTGCCACTTACCCTTCAAAAGCTTTCAGCTGCTCCCGTTTGCCTTCAGCAGTCATTTTGAAACTCTTCTCGGAGGAACCCTCTTGGCTGGGCAGAAGCACTTCAGGGGTTCCTCAAACAAATGTCCAGGCCAAACACTGAAGACGTAAACCACCCTGAGGAGCCTGTTCTTGTACTTTGTCTGTTTGCTGTATTAGAGTTCGTTCATTCATTCATCAAATATTTACTGAGCTGCTATGTGCGAGGCACAATTCTACGCTCAGGGAAGAAGCAGTGAACAAAACACACAATTCCTCGTGGAATTTCTATTCTAGGGAGGGAGTCAAACAAAAAGAAATAAAATACATGTTAGTCAGATAAGTTCTATGGAGAAAACGGGAGTGAACTGAAGGTGAGAGCAGGTGGAAATGAGGGCAGAGAGGTGGGGGCGGAAAGGTCTGACGGTGTTTGCCCCCGGAGGCCACTGTAAGAACTTGGATTTTTACAAGACTGAGATGATGAGCCATTAGAGCCATGCAGGCAGATGAGTGACACGATGTGGTAGGTTTTAACAGGATCACTCTGGCTGCTGTGTTGAGAAAAGATCATAGGGGGCAGGTTCAGAAGAAGGGAGAAGAGTCAGGGGCTTTTGTCATGATCCCAGCGAGAGATGGTCGTCTCTTGAGCTGGGGTGGGGGCAGTGAGGAACATTTGGATTCTAGACGCATTTTGAAGAGAGAGCTGACAGAATTTGCTAATGGATTGGAATAGGGGTGTAAGAGAAAGAGAAGAGTCAAGGGTGGGTTTCTATATAAAACGGCTTTCAACCCAAAGAACTATTCTACTAAACAATTGCACATTGTTGGCCTCCAGGATAAAGCTCAGACTCCTGGGCCGACCCTGGGAGGCCCTGGATACCTGCTCTCCACCTCTACAACTTTGCAAATATAGTTCCCTCTTCCTGGAAAGCCATCCCTCACTGCCCTACTCTGCCCACTCCTAGTCCTCCATCAGGATTTCCCTCAAGCAGCCCCTTCTCTGAAGACCTCTCCCGACTCTCTACTGCCGGGGCTGGCGAGGGGATCCTCTGTGCTCTGCCAGCATCCCGTGCATCCCTCTCGGCATGTGGGTCACACTGTTCTGTAAGTGACAATACAATCTATTGCTCATAGTAAGGGCATTCAACTTCTTGAGCGAAGGCATGTATCTATTCCAAATCCTGTCTTCTTTCTCCAAATCCCTTTATTCTCTGCAGAAGGCTGTTGAGCCTCCTCATTTCCTACCTTCCGAGCCATCCGCTAGGTGCCACTCCGGTTTTCCTTCTCTCCACCTCCAAGTTCTCTCTCCTGTACATAACATGTTACTTTTACCATAGGAAGGCAGAGGTGGGACTTATTCAATATTTCATTCAAAATGAAAATGAAAATATTCAGATATTTTCCAAAAGAAATAATGGAAGGAGAAATCAGCAACTAATCAAAACTACCTATGAGGAAAAAAATAGCTTATGGAGGATGGAGAGAACAGGGGAGGGAGGGAAGACTGGGATGGCAGCTAGCCCTCTGGAAATGTTTCATTTAGAGTTTTGTCTGTAGATCCACATAAAGTGTTCTTAAGTTTATATTGAAATATAACACCCATACAGAAAAGTGCAAAAACCCGAAGAGTACAGCTAGATGATTTTTCACAAAGTGAACACACCCAGAGAACTGGCACCCAGAGCAAGAAACAAACATGACCAGCAGCCCCTCCCGGCAAGGATAACCACTCGCCTGACTTCTAATGGCATGGATGAGTTCTGCCTGTGTTTGGTCTTTAGGTAAACGGAATCACACAGTACGTGTGCTGTTGTGGCTGGCTGCCTGTGCTCCACGTTCTGTTCGTGATCCATCACCCATGTCATTGTGGGTAGGCATAGCTTGTTCATTTTCATTGCCGTATAGGAGCAGTTCGCCAACATTTTAGTCTTAGGACTCCTTCACACTTAAAAATTACTGAGGACATCAAAGGGCCTTTGTTTGTGTGGATTGTATCTATCAACATTTGCTGTATTAGAAATGAAAACTGAGAAATATTTCAAACCCAAGAACACATAAGCCCACATTCCATTTCCTGTCAGAGCCACGATGTCATTACAAGTCATGGAGCCTCTTGAAAACTACCACACTCAGGAGAGGAGGAGAGCGAAAGAAGCACATCACTTCTTTGTCTTGTTATCAAAATAGCTTTGATCTCACAGAGCCTCTGCAAGGGTCTTGAGGACCCCCCTGAGTTCCCTGGCTCACACTTTGAGATCTGCTGCTGTACAGCAGCCCTCGGGAAATATACCACAATTTATCTGTTCCTGGTGATAGATTAAGACAGTGTCTAGTTTGGGCCCATTAGAAATAATTCTGCTATAACTAATTTAGTACATACCTTTTGATGCACACGTGTACACCTTTCTGCAGGGGAAACACCTAGGAGAGGAGATGTGGGGTCATGTAGGATGTAAACGGAATCATGTAAAACATTTACATCATTAAAAAACAAAATTAAGGGGCCAGCCCTGTGGCCGAGTGGTTTAAGTTCACGCGTTCCGCTTTAGCGGCCCAGGTTTCACCAGTTCGGATCCCGGGCACGGACATGGCACTGCTCATCAAGCCATGCTGAGGCGGCGTCCCACTTAGCACGACCAGAAGGACCCACAACAAGAATATACAACTATGTACAGTGGGGCTTTGGGGAGAAGAAGGAAAAACAAAAAATGAAGATTAGCAACACATGTTAGCTCAGGTACCAATCTTTAAAAAAAAAATTAAATTTACAAAAAAAAATTTCTCTTCATCCGTCCTTCTCCTTCCCTCCCACTGCAGGAAACAACTGTTCCCCTTTTCAGGGCAAACTCCTCTCCTAATGCCCTTCAGCCCACCCCCATGTCCTCTGAGACCACCCCCACTATCCACCATACCTGGGTTTTCTCGCATCTTTAATCTCTCTTCTTCTCGTCCTCTTCTCCATGATCTACAGAAAGCACCGACTCTTGAGCTCACCGCTCTCTCACTGCCCTCCTGTGTCTCCGTCCCTTCACACTCAAACATCCTAAAAGCATTTCCTCCCCTCGAGTCCTGCCCCACCTCACCACCCACTCTTTCCCCTTCTTGCTACCTTCCCCACCTCCCATCTATACTGCCCAACTTTCACGGGCCCCAAGGAGCACCTTATGTCAAATCCTGGAGCCTCTTCACAGCCCTTGTCCCTTCTGACCCCAGGGGGACCCAGCTCTGTCGAGTTCCCGCCCTTGAAACGTGCCTCCACCGGCTCCGGCCACTGCACATCGACTCTTGTGACTGGCAAGCTGTCCCTTCTAGTTGGAATGCCCTTCTCCCCGTCTCCCCATGTCCTGGTCCCACCTGTGTTAGTCTGCTGGGGCTGCCATAACAAAATACCGCAGACGAGGTGGCTTCACCAACAGAAATTTCTCACAGCTCTGGAGACTTGAAGTCTGAGAGTGTCGGCAGGTTTGGGTCTCCTGAGGCCTCTCTCTTTGTCTTGCAGATGGCCAGCCACCTTCTCACTGCATCCTCACATGGTCTCTCCACACGTGCGTGCATCCTGGTGTCTCCTTGTGTGTCCTAATCTCTTCTGAGAAGGACGCCAGTCAGACTGGGTTAGGGACCACGCTAGCAAGCCTCACTTAACTTCATCACCTCTGTAAACGCCCTACCTCCAAATAAAGTCACATTCTGAGGTACTGGGGGTTAGGGCTTGAACATATGAATTTGAGGAGAACACAATTCAGCCCATAACACCACCACTCACCTTGTAAGGCTGAATTCAAACGCCACCTCTTCCTCTTAGCTGGCAATCAGCACCCCTTCAACATTCTTGTAGGGGCTGGCCCGGTGGCGCAGCAGTTAAGTTCGCATGTTCCACTTCGGCAGCCTGGGCTTCCCCAGTTTGGATCCCAGGTGCGGACCTATGCACCGCTCATCAAGCCATGCTGTGGCAGGTGTCCCACATATAAAATAAAGGAAGATGAGCACAGATGTCAGCTCCAGGCCAGTCTTCCTGAGCAAAAAGAGGAGGATTGGCAAAAGATCTTAGCTCAGGGCTAATCTTCCTCGAAAAAAAAAAAAAAGGTACAAACTTCCAGTTATAAATAATTAAGGCATGGGGATGTAACATACAGCATGGTGACTATAGTTAATAATACTGTATTGCATATTTGAAAGTTGATATGAGAGCAGATCTTGTAAGTTCTCATCACAAGAAAAAAATTTCTAACTATGTATGGTGATGGACGTTAACTAGACTTATTGTGGTGACAATTTCGCAATATATACAAATATCGAATCATTATGTTGTACACCTGAAACTAACATAATGTTATATGTCAATTATACCTCGATAAAAAAATTTTCTTTCTTTTTACTCATTTTTTTTTTAGGAAGATTAGGCCTGAGCTAACATCCATGCCCATCTAAACATCTACTGGAGCTAACGTCTACTTTACACGTGGGACACCTGCCACAACCTGGCTTGACATGCAGTGTGTAGGTCCACACCAGGGATCCGAACCAGCGACCCTGGGCCGCAGAAATGGAACGTCCGAACTTAACCGCTGTGCCACTGGGCTGGCCCCTCAATAAACAATTTTTAAAAATAAATAAAAGAAAAAGAAAATATTGATTATTAAATAAATAATAAAAATCCAGGTTAAGAAGCCTAAAGTCTCGCTTCAATTTAATGTAAAATTTTCTGGATGAGGGTCTGAATTTAAAAACTGGATGGCATTAATGTAATAAAACTTTTGCTGTCAAAAAATGGCAATTATTAAATTGGGCTCAAGCTTCCTATGGCTTCTGTACTCCCTCTCTAGAATCTAAGGCACCAGCGTCCTGTTGCCCAAAGCAGAAACCTGGAACCAAGTCCTGTCAATTTTATGTCACAATCATCTCTTCATTTTATTTCCTCTTATTCAGTGTCATGGGGACTGTCTTACTTTGAGCCACCATCATTTCTGGCCCAGACTATTTCCAAAGCCTCCTACCTAGTTTGTTTGTTTTATCGTCTGTCACTATACTCCAACCCAAGGATTCGTAACCTTTTGTGCCTGGAACCCTTTGGCAATCTGATGAAGTTTATGGACTTATTTTCAAAATAAATGTATCAAACAAAGTACATAGGATTACAAAGAAAACCAATTACACTGCAACATTGTTATCAAAATATTTTCTGAAAGAAATGTGTGTTATAAGATATGGGCTTCATAACTCAGTTCTACTTGTGGAACTAATAACTACTGTCATTTCAAAGAAGTGATGAGTGTATAAATGTTAAATATTTCAAGACATCTCCATCAACTGTAATGGGATATGAAACCATCTTTGATTTCTTCTTTTTTTTTGAGGAAGATTAGCCCTGAGCTAACATCCGTGCCCATCTTCCTCTACTTTATATCTGGGATGCCTGCCACAGCATGGCTTGACAATGGGTGCATAGGTTCACACCCGGGATCCAACTGCCGAACCCTGGACCGCCCAAGGAAGCATGGGAACTTAACCGCTGCGCCACCAGGCTGGCTCCTCATCTCTGATTTCTATTGGCAACCAAGTACTGTAGTTTGTTGCATACATTGTAAATAAAGAAAAACGCTACATCTTAGTCAGTTTGATGGAAATGAATTTGTGACTTTTTATCCAAGTTCACTTTGGAGTCTACACATCGATGCTTTGTTGACCCCAGATTAAAAACTCCTCCCTTGACCTCTGGTGCAAATATGCTTGAGGTGACTGCAAAGACACAGAGGTTTTTGTTTTCAAAAGGGGAGAAGAAAAGGATGAACAGGGGAATCATTACCAAAAAGTATGCCATGAATTCCTATACATTTTGCCAAAGTGAGCTACAGCCAGTCTGGGCTTCCTAGTGGCCAAAGAAGAGGTTCTGTCCAGAACTCGGCTTAAACCTTGACTGGCAACCGCCTGCCCAGCCTAACGCTCCTCGGCCGGCCCTAGACCGACAGGGCCCACTCGGTGCAGCCCCCGCCGACCTCTCCTGCTTCCTCCAACCTCACTGTCCCTCCTGGTCCCGCACCGCGCAGCCAGATGGAAACCACCCCCAGCAGTCAAGCAAAGGCCAGGCGGTCGTCACGCCAGGCCGCTCGGGCGGGGCGTGCCCAGCTGCCACCCCGCGGCGCGCTCACGACCGAAGTCCCTTGCGCTCGGACGTGACGTGTCCCTGGCCCTCCACCGGAGGCAGCCCTGCCTCCCCCTCGTGCCTTCCGAAGGATCTCTGCTTTGGCCGTTATCGCGGGCCGTCTGCCTCGGCCACAAAGTGGGGTGCCCTGGCATGCTGACGGGCCCCTGAGGAGCCCACTTACGGAAGCGAACCCCATTTCGCACGAACCAGTGCGGTCTCCCACGGCTCCATGGGACCGAGCAAGGGGGTGCGGCCTGCGGGAGGCGGTGGCCAGCGCACGAGGTCCCGCCCAAGCCCGGCCCCTGGAGCGCTTTGTAACCACGTCCTTCTGCCCGCCTCTTCCTCTTTCTCTCCTCGCCATCGTCGTGTGCGCGGTAGCTGCTCCTCCTCGCCATGGTGAGTCCATCCGTTACCATCAGCTCCGGGCTGGCTTCCCGCGACCCGAGGTCTCCGCGAGCTCGCCAGCGCGGCGGGCTGCATCGAAGTTCCGGGGCATTTTTCAGGCTTTTCCCGGAGAAGGTCGAGTTTGGCCGCCGCTCTCGCCCGCGGGCCTGGTGGGCTGTGGCGAGTAGACGAGGCCCTGGGAAGGGTGAGCTGCGCCCTCGGCTCCAGGCGCCGCCCGGGAGGGAAGAGACTCCCGCTTCCCTTCGCCCTTCTGCCGGAGCGAGCTGTGCTGCTGGGGCCGGGGGGCACCCCACAAATCGGGGCCTGGCGGCGGCTGCCCGCAACACGCAAGACGTGCCGGGCATCGAGAAGGGAACGTGGGCTGCTGGTTTTCGGAGGTCTTTTCATTGGGCGGCCAGGAACATAGCACGCTGTGAGCTTTCGGGACTTTTTAGCCCTTTTTTCAGGGTCTTGAGCGGCACCCCGTGGAAGCTCCTGGAAGAAGGGGCGTTGTGGCATGAATCTATGCCGAATGGGCGTTCTTCGTAAAATGTCAGCTGCGTAAAAAGCCCATGTCGTGAGTTTTTCCGGCGATGGTTTCCTGAGAAAATCGTTTATGGAGAGAATCAGTGTCTAGCGTTTGGTAGTTTTATCAGTCAACGGAAAATTTACGACTGCCGCTGGGAGCTGGCAGGGAGGAACGTTGGCTCTGCCTTCTTTATAACAGCCCCTGTTACGCAAGGGTGTGTTGGGCCACATTGGCCCGACTTGAGAGCAGCACTCATATGCCATTTCTGCGGATTGTCCTGCAAACTGGGGAGGAGGGTGATCGGGTTTGGGTCTAGATGACCCAAGTTCATGAAAGCCAAAAATGGAAAAGTCAGCCTTGAAAAAGTGACATTTTAAATAGAAGTAGTACCAATGGTCGGTGGGTTAGAAGGGACCTAGCGAATGACAGGGACTTTTGTGCAAATCCTAATTACTCTCACAATGACCCTTGAAAGTGGATACCCCTGTTTTTCAAAGTAACGCACTGCAGTTCGTTGACTTGCAAAAGAGAGATTTTTTTTTGGTTGACCGAAAGCTGTGTTCTTTTGTGAAAACCCAAGTTTCCCAGCCCTAGCCATCTTTCATGTGGTCCTGAGTCCTAGGGGGAGCAGGGAAGATTGGCCAAAGGCACCCCAGCCTTGGAGCAGAGAGGACCTGGGTTTGCATCCCAGCTCTGCACGTTCAGACTCTGAGTTGGGGCAGATTACCTACCTCCCTGATTCTGCTGATTTTTATTTGAACAATGGGAATTACGGTATGTGCCTCCAGCGAAGTTGTGAGGAACAAAGCAAAGGGTGGGATGGGTTTAGCATAGAGGGGGGTTGTTCTTGGTATATGTTAAGGATTCAAATGTTGGATTGAGGGAGTTCCTGACTTTAGATTATGAGCTAGCTCTGGTATTGCTGTCTAAGCTGATTGCATTTCCTTCCCAGTCTTCTCACAAGACTTTTAGGATCAAGCGATTCCTAGCCAAGAAACAAAAGCAGAATCGTCCCATTCCCCAATGGATTCGAATGAAAACTGGTAATAAAATCAGGTAAGGACCCCACCACCCCTCGCTTGTTTTTTGTTAAATTTAAGATTACTCTTTGAGCATAAGTATGCAATTGAAAGTTATACGCGCTCCACTTCATCCTGTAACGTCATTCTGAACTCTTTCTTTTAACGTGCTTCCTTTGGATTTCTGGACAGTACCCAGCCCACAGCTGGGCTTAGGGTCAGACACTCCTCCAGTATTAATTTATTAATATTAATTTCCTGGTTGTTTTACGTCTGAGCAGAACATAAGGTGGAAGGCGATCTCATTACACAGCCCAGCGGGGACGACCATGTTGCTCACCCATTGAATTTTTGAGTGTTTCTTTTCTAAAGGTTGGAAGATTACCCTCTACTGTAGTAGTAGTTGAATTGATGATTTTGGAAGAAAAACATTGCTAGAATTGGTTTGTTTAAAATGGAGTATGAGCTTTCCTGGTTCTCCCAAATAATTGAGCCCAGAAGACCACAGAAGACACGGCAGCAAATATTACCAAAATTCTTATTTTCAAAGCATTTTTCAGCTGACACTGTAGAGTTGGCCTAGCAAGTAGGGTCCCTCTTGCAAGATGAAGGCTTTGAAACGCAGGAGCACAAAATGATGAAGCTAGTGTACAAGTCTGGTTTATATAAAGCTCGGTGCCTAGCTCAATAGAGGGTGCCTGGGGTTATCAGGATTAGTCTCTTGCTCTGTCCTCTCCTAGAGCTGGGAAGGCACTTTGTATTTAGGATTACACACTCTTGGCCCAGAGAATTGGCAAATTAAATAATTTTTCTCTTGCTTGAGTTGTCTTCTAACTTTGAAAATGTTTTTTAAGCAGGTTGCAATTACAGTGCTTCATTTTGTGGAAGTACTGACATTATCCTGCTGAAAGAAAATCTTGTGTGGATCATTTTTGATTTTGCCTTTGTGAGGGTAAAATCATGACAGATTGACATGGACAATTCTGAGATGGCCTTAGCTCTGCAAATCACTTGGTTTGGTGTTAAAATGGGGATGTTAATCTATTGTACAAATTACACAGGAGCTTTTATGTGTGTAACCTATTATATAGAAATGACTGTTTTTGGTGTAGTTTACGGGGGGGTGGGGGGGGGAGGTGCAAAATGTATGTCTCTGGCTACCCCAGGTCTGTGGAATCAAGAATGGGTGCTTGTCCACTTGCGGAGAAAAGAGCTTCTCTACTACTACCGTCCCAATTAGGAACCGCTGTGTTTTCCTAGCCTGGAATCGTTTTGAGAGGTAAAAAATTGATTTGACTAGTTCTTAAACACATCTAGCAAATCATTTTTTACTCTCCAAAAAGAGCTCCAAACTTGAAGGAAGGAAAAACACGGGACCCTTTGCCTTTCGAGGATTTTATGGTACTTAAAAGGCAACGTTGAGGTCACATTGCCTTTGTAACTTGCAGTTTCCTTCTGTGTAGGTACAACTCCAAGCGGAGACATTGGAGAAGAACCAAGCTGGGTCTATAAGGAATCACAGATGAGATGACACACATATTTATGCTGTATCAAAGTCCTTCTTACATCTTACCATACCACTCTGAAAACGTGACTGTCTGGACAGTTGGATGTGTTTTATTCAGGAATTGATTTTTCTCTTTGTTGCTATGCTTCTGAACTAGTAGGTTGGTTCAGTAATAAATATGTGAGACGTTTTGTTTGAACTGCTCTTGTGTTCTGGTTTGTGAAGTGTGGAATTCCCCCTCCTGCCAGATCTCACGACACTGTCCAGTAGAACTTTCTGCAATAATAGAAATCTTCTCTGGCTACCAATTATTTGAAATATTGCTAGTGCGTGTACAGAACTGATTTTTAAAATTTTACTTAATTGTAATTGTAATAGCTCCATGTGGCTGGTGGCTCTTAAATCTTATGTTATGGGAAGTACATGTACTGCATTTATGTGTCATCCTTGTACCCCAGGGTAGCACGTTCTTAAATAGCATCTTTGGGGGCTGGCCCAGTGGCACAGCAGTTAAGTTCACGGGCTCCACTTCAGCAGCCCAGGGTTCGCTGGTGTGGATCCTAGGCTCAGACCTAGCATCGCTTGTCAAGCCATGTTGAGGCGGTGTCCCCACATAGGAGAACTGGATGACCTACAACTAGGATATACGACTATGCACTGGTGCTTTGGGGAGAAGGAAAAAAAGAGAGGAGATTGGCAACAGATGTTAGCTCAGGGCCAATCTTCAAAAAATTAACAAATTAAAAAAATAAATAGCATCTTTATATTCTCTTCTATGGTGCCAGTCCTCAATAAGAGTAGAAATCTGAACCAGGGGTTTGGCAAACTGGTCTGCTGCCCGTGAGCTAAATTTCTCCATTTTTAAATGGTTGAAAGAAATCAGAAGAATATTTTATACTTAATAAATTTGAATTTACTGGGCATGTATGTGCTGGGCACTGTTCTAGATACTTGGGATTAATCGGTTGATAGACAAATGTATGTTATGTTAGCCTAATGAAAGGCCAATACGCAAGCCATAGCAAATGTCTGAAAAAGGTGGGAAGAAACAAAAGTGCCCTAATTACTTGTGAATGGGGATGAAACTGCAGCAGCAAGGGAAAGGGGAATCAAGTTTGGGGGTAGCTCCCTCCCCAGCCTGTAGGGAGCCTGCACTGGACAAAGCTGAGAAGGCAAGGGGCAGGAGATGGTGGGTGCCGTGTATAGTATGCAGCAAGTGGGGGGCGGGTGTTGCACAGCAAAGGGGTCCCTGCCTTACAGTCACACTAGGAGGCTCAGAGGACTAATCCTTCAGAAGGATCCCTTTTACCAGAAGTTTGAAGAGTGGGCTATGGACTACCAACCAACCCAGGAACCTGGGAGCTGCCACCAGATCTTTGAAACTCATCTCAACTTGTTTACAAGCCCCTGGATTTCAAATATTTCCTCTAATTGCGTCAATGTTGCCTTCGCATTCAAAGACAGTTGCTACTGTGTGAATAGCAGTCGGTAAAGTTTCAAGTCCGAAGCAGTGGGGCTTGATACAGTTAACTGGCAGTCATGTGACGGAAATTTGTAACCATTTTGGAGTATTACAAATATCTCAGCCTCACTATGCAGAGTAGGTTGTAACAGGGCCAGGGGCACACTAATGACAAAGTGAGCTTTCTCTACAGGCCTTGAGTAGGTAATAGGTAAGATTAGAATTAAAAGGGAAGGGACCGGCCCCGTGGTGCAGCAGTTAAGTGCGCACATTCCACTTCGGTGGCCCGGGGTTCATGGGTTTGGATCCTGGGTGTGGACATGGCACCGCTTGGCAAGCCATGCTGTGCTAGGTGTCTCACATATAAAGTAGAGGAAGATGGGCACAGATGTTAGCTCAGGGCCAGTCTTCAGCAAAAAGAGGAAGATTGGCAGCAGATGTTAGCTCAGGGCTAATCTTCCTCCAAAAAGAAAATTGTGAACAAATAAAGTGCTTACCAAAAAAAAGAGTTGAAAGGGAAAATGGGTTGGCCATGTGATAAGGCGTCTTTTGAGCCTGGCAGGTGGACACAGTTCTGGTTCCAGTGGCCCCTCAACAGCTTACGTAATTGCTAAGATTTGTTTCCTCATCTGTGAAGGACTAGACCACTGCTTCCTGAAGGGAGGAGTGGGAGCTTTGAGCGGTTTAGGATTTACATTTATCCACAAGAAGTGCAGCCTAAGATGGCAGCTTTTGCAAGATACACGTTTGACCCTGTGGTGATACTCCCCATCCCTTGATAGCCCCACTGAAAAGCAGGCGGCAGCAGCATGGTCGGGAGTTGGCAGTCTGAAGTGTGACACCACTGAATAGTCTGGATTCCAGTGTTGCTCTTCACCTTTCACCAGCTGTAAGCCTCATTGTTATCTGCAACATGGGGCCCATGCGATCTCCCTCAGGGCTGTGAGAATGAAATGTAATGCACTAAGGCACTTGGTTCAGTGCCTGACTAGGAAAGGGAGAAGAGGAATGGGGAGTGAGCAGGATTAAAGTTCTGGTGTTGATCCCTCCCCAGCAGGCAAGTGCTATATGTGGGATAAAGCTAAAGTAAGAGGGCCGGCAGAGTGGGGAGGGCAGGCCTTCATGGGAGAGAGCGGGCACTGAGATGGTGCTCAGTGTCAGCTGCTGGATACACCCGTTCCCTTCCAATTCCAGGATTACCACCTTGGAGGAGTAGAGTAACCCCTTGAGGACTTGGAAGGGAGGCAGAGTGACAAGAATTAAAATCCTGGGGCTTGCACTCAGGCCTCCGGTTGAATCCCGGCTCCATCACTGAACTAGCTGAGGAAAATTGATCTCTTAAGAGACTTAATCCCGAATCCTTCCTGACGACTTCAGGTTTGTGGATGACTGGATGATAATGTCTGTAAAGGATCAGTTCTACCAGGTATTCTCCCATTTTACAGATGAGAAAAGGTTATGCACCTCATTCTTGCTAATAGCAGCTAACAGTTTGAGTGTGTAACATGCCAGGTAGCTGCTGTTGGCAGGAATGGCGATGAGAACCAGACTGAGCAGGGAGTAGATTTTGTAAGTTCTTGGAAAGAACAGGGTGAAATAGAACCATTTACGCTTACCTGGTAGTATATTCTGGAGAAGTGAGCAGCAAGCCCTTGCCTATGCAAAGCAGTGGAGGGTGGGGAGCCAAAGGCAAGTATGACTTGCAAGCGTGCTGCAGTCAAGACAGCATGCAGGTGTGTTTGTGCCTGTGCGCATCATACATGCGTGTCTCCGGGAATGGAGGGAGGGAAGATGGCAAACCGTCATCAGAGAAAACTCGCTGAGCTAAACCAAGTAAATGGTGTGGTACATTCTTCATCAGGAGCCATTTTGCCACCCAGGGGACGTTTGGCAATGTCTGGAGACATCTTTGGTTGCAAGAACTGGGGGGAGGGGAGGTACCACTGGCGGCTAGTAGATAGAGACCGGGGATGCTCCCAAACATCTTACAATACACAGGACAGCCCCTACAACAAGGAATTACTGGGCCAAAGTGTCATTAGTACCACGGTTGAGAAGATTTTTTTTTTTTTTTGGTGAGGAAGATCGTCCCTGAGCTAACATCTGTGCTAATCTTCCTCTACTTTATATGTGATATGCCACCACAGCATGGCTTGATGAGTGGTCTGTAGGTCCATGCCCAGGATCCAAACCAGTGAACCCCCTGGGCCGCCAAAGGAGAGCGTGCAAACTTAACCACTATGCCACTGGGCCAGCTCCTCAACCAACTTTTCACCTCCACAGGGGGACCTTCCCTGACTGCCCCTTTCTCCCCTCAGTCCAGTTAGGTCCTTCTGCTTAGTGCCTCTCATCACCCTGTAGTTTTCCTTTACAGTTGGAACTAAGGAATATGTGTGGTTAATTGACGTCTGCCTCCCTCACTAGACTGACCTCTACAAGGATGGCGTGTGTCTTGCTCACTGCTGATTGCTCTCACCTAATAGCATCTGCAACAAAGGGGGTGCTCAATAATTAAATTTGTAGAGTGAATGAGGAGATGGGTATGCAAGTGAGCAAGAACAGTACAAATTGTGTGCCTTAACGTGTATAAAAATAATGAAGAAGCAATGACTTGCCTGGAGAGTCGGGGAAGACCTCACCCAGGTTCACCAGGAGGCAACCAGCATGTGTATGTTTGTGCATGCGTACGTGCCCATGCATACACACAGTGAGTCCATAGCCGGAGTTTAAGGCACTAGGGAAAGGATCTGAAGAATTAGATAAGAGCAGATCATGAAAGCTCAGGCATGCCACGAGTTGGGAATGGCACTGTTCTCACCGCTCACCCTCTGTAGGAGTGCCTTCTTCATCACCGCTGGGCCTCCGCATGCACTTAAAGTACAGTCACTGATGAGGCCACCTGGGGCTGCATGGTCAAGGCTGCTGATGGAGACTGTCTCTGTAGCAGCAGGACAGGACTTGGCTCTCAGCCTCACCCTAAATGAAACTGTTCTCTTGGTCAATTTGAATAACTTAGAGGGGCCAGCCCAGTGGCGCAGTGGTTAAGTGCGCACGTTCTGCTTCTTGGCGGCTCCGGGTTCGCCAGTTCGGATCCCGGGTACGCATATGGCACTGCTTGGCAAAAGCCATGCTGTGGTAGGTGTCCCACGTATGAAGTAGAGGAAGATGGGCATGGGTGTTAGCTCAGGGCCACTCTTCCTCAGCAAAAAGAGGAAGATTGGCAGTAGTTAGGGCTAATTTTCCTCAAAAAAAAATAATAATTTCGATTCGAGCAGAGCTGATAATACAGATGTTTACAAAGATGCATATAATAGTAGCAATGAGGGAAAGGATAGAAAAACCCACCAAAAAAGCAAACACCAGCAGCATAGGCCAGACCAGTCATTTTCTAGAATAAGCAGAGAAAAAGTTTAACCCCACCCCCTCAAAAACCGCCTGCTAACAGTATGGGAGTTATAGCCTATTTTTTTTCCTATTTAATTTAATTTAATTTTTTTGGTAAGGAAGATTGTCCCTAAGCTAACATCTGTGCCAATCTCCCTCTATTTTGATGAGTGGTGTGTAGGTCCACACCCGGGATACGAAGCCACGAACCCCAGGCCACTGACGTGGGGCATGAACTTCACCACGACACCACTGGGCCGGCCCCTATAGGCAATTTTTTAAAAATTCTATTGACCTATAAGATGCATACAGAAAAATACAGTTATCATACATGAATAGCTCGGTGAATTTTC